ATGGGCTTTGGATGCACGAGATAATTTAGAATAGATACTGTAGTTACAGTGTATAGTCAAGAAATAGGTCGTACATCATTATTTCTGTAGCAAACTCGAATGTGATTAGACCGTTTACAGCCGAAGAATTAACAAAAAAAAATGCAAGTTCGACATCTCCATGGAGAAATGTGTTTTTATTGAATATGATAAATAGGATGGGCTGCTTTTCCGCAAGTTTCTCATTACAACAGATTAGGTTTCAATTACACAGTCCCACAAAAAAAAAGGATCGGATGTAGTATTCAGACCCAGGTATTTCCATGTATTTTTTCCACTGAATCCGAATCTGCCTTCAGATTTGGCCCAACAGGTCTGAGTTTTCGGAAAAATTTACAAAAAACGTCATTTACGATCGACAAGTTATAAAAAATCAAATTATTCTACCAGCTCACTAGACGTATTTTTCACTCGTTTAATTCCAATTTATCATCATAGAGTCAGACAAGCTGGTCCAATTTCATTCAAAAACAGAAAATAGATCAAAATGCTTAAAAGCGCCATTTTCATGGCATAATTGGTATTGCAGAATTCTGGATCCACCTTTTTATCCACCCACCCATTTATGAATTCATACATCTTTCTATAGGTACAGTCAGTCGTTCATGCATGAATACGCATATTTATTCATCCGCCTGTACCACCTATAAAACCCACCCATCCACCCATCTATCCATCTACTTTTTGTACTGAGAGATGAGATAACAGCCTAGAAGATTGAGAATGCAATAAAACTTGTAGAATACTCTACTTTCTAAACAATATACAACGATATCTATAAATCATTCTTATTTTTGTTGCTATAACGTGTTCTCTTTTCTTCAAAGGGTTACGCTTTCGTTTAGCACCTCTATTCTTCTTTTCTCTTTTTAATTAATATCCAGCAAAAATCGGCCATCATGTTTTCATCCCATCTTCCTTGATATCGCTGTTCTATAACCTTCATCCTGATGAAGTCGTTCGCCTTGTTCTTTGCTATAATCTCCAAGATTTTCAGGAAACCAATCCAGATGTGAATGAAGGAAGTGCAACTTGTAATTCATCAAACATCCCAGATCTTGGAAGTCTTTTATCATTTTTGATACAATTTCTTCGTATTTAGGACTCTTGTTGTTGATATAAACTTGTAACGTCATCCGCAAAAACCCGTAAACCCTTAAAAAACCTTGAAGCTTGAAGCAAACGGTAAACTTAGGCAAGAGATTATCATCTAACTTACCCTCAAATTGACAAGTATCAATTTGTGCTATTTATATAAGAAAAAAAACAAATAAAAATACAATGGTTGTAGTATTTTAGGTCAAAATATTGTGTTGGTTCTTTTATTTAATTTAACACGAGCTTTCTGCATTCATAAATATTTTATTGTTGATAAACTTAAAAAAATGGGTTTAAGGTATCCAATTGACAACTGGGTTCACTCTTTCCTAAATGACAGAGAACATAATCTCATTTTTTGAAGATTTCATTGGGGGTTTCCTAGGGGAGTGTTTTATCTCCCCTACTATTTATATTGTTTATCAATGATTTAAAACATCATGTAACTGTCGAAGATACCACTTTAATTATTAACGCAAATGACAGTACAATATGTATTAGTGCCTCATCTGCTGACGAGCTTCAAGCGAAAGTAAACGCCACACTTGAACAATTTTATACGTGGTGTACCAAAAATAATCTAATTATCAATCCAACAAAAACTCATTATATTACATTGTTTAAAAGACAAATAAATTCTTAGGACTTTTCATTGACGAACAGCTCACTTGGTCGGCTCATATTGATCATTTCGTAAAGAACTGCCTATTATGTGATCAGGAATTTGAGAAATGTAATGGATAAACATTATCTTTTAAATATTTATTTTGCATTAGCATATATACATTCAAAATATTTACTAATTTACTGGGGGACTAGCGCGGAATATCACAGAAGTTTCATTTGCCAAAAGAAAATTATAAGATTAATTTTATCTCTCAGTCCGGTATAATCTTGTTGACCATCATTTATACAAAATAAAATTTTTTCTTTACCTTGTATATTGATATACGAAGCAGCCGTATTTGTTAAAGGCCGTCCTGAATTTTTTAAACAACATAACAATGTGCACGTGTATAACACTCGAGGAAACAATCTAATTTCAAACTTATATTTCAAACTAGCGATTTTGTTCCAAAATGGCTCTTATTACGGAACTTTGCCAACATTTGTAGACCGTGTGGTATACGGGTGGTACAATGCAGCGTTGCCAAAACGGTGAAATATTGAGGCATGTGTTTGATTTGGTTATGTTATAAGGGTCATGTTTGTAGTATAAACACGGAGGATATAATTTGCGATAAGGGTACTCGGTACGACTTGTTTGAAGCCTGCCGATAATTGTCAATATAATGGGCATTCTAAAATATACTAAAACTATATCGTTCTATTAGTGACCTCATTTGAAATTAAAATTATTTCCCGTCGCCTTGCCAAAGAAGTATAACAATTAATATCGATCGTTTTGAACGTACTACAAAGGCTTGTTTAACACAACTTGGTTTTTTTTTTCCACTGCGCTCCAATAATTTTGTGCAATAAAAGGGGCAAGTCTACGAATACTAAGGTGTAATTATTATTTTTTAATTTGCTTAGAGTAGAATTTGATTACTTCACTACCCTTGCTTGAACTTTCATTATTACAAGTAATAGTTTGATCTATCAGGATTTTTTTAACCGGCCCTACTGACAAATACAGCTGTCACTGTTTATTTTTTATATTTATTGTTCTGTTGAGTAACGTATGGGGGAATTCCAATTAATTTTTATTTCGTAACACATCCTAGCGCTATATTTATTAAATATTCATACTTTTAATCATAATTATGCTTGCAATCACTGAAATATCAAGAACTTAATGAACTATAACATTATCTTATGCACTAACCGCACCCTAATCTTTTACGTATCTAGGTATTACTTTTATTTAAAACCTTGCAGTTGCATTCGGTATTGACGTTAAATCTTTAAGATTCCAAGCCGTGTGAGGTCAACGAATCAACCAAGGAGTTTAAAAAGCTGATACTAATTAAACATTTGCTAGCCTTCGGCCGAAGAACATGTGTTAATTGCAAAAAAATACTGGAAGTGCTGGAACTGGTTTTTGAAAAGAACGGAATACGTTGTTGTTTAACATAATTTTAATATATGGATGTATTTCTGTTCGCACAGTGACAGGGCCAAAAATTCCTTCGAAGATTTTAATGGCACTAATCAATCATCACCAATGTTTCTTCAATTTGGAAGGAAAATTTAGCATTATGTTTACTGTCAGTCATATTGATGTACGTAGATGGATTTGCAAATTAAAAAACGCTGAATGAAAATTATTATCTGTAAATACTGGAAATGTACGTGTGTTAAAAATTAGTTTTAAAATATGTTATCAAGAAAAATGTCAGTATATCGCATCCCCATAGAAAGAAGTATAGTAAGAAGAAGTGCGATGCGATCTTAATTTCCATTGCTCATGAATTATGTCTGAGTCATTGTCGAGGGCTTGCGTTAGGTTGTTTGCTATCAATTAGTAGAGTGATACCAAGCTCTTCCTGTATTTGTCGCCGGAAAAAGCGAAGTGGACGACAACTTTGAGGATTTAGACATAGAATTGTTTACTGGTGCAGTGCAAAACCATCCTCAAATTTGGAATGCCGCCTTGGAGGATTACCAGAACTAAAAAGAGAAATGCATGGGTTATTATTAGGCGTCAAACTTATCTGGATTGTCTCTTAGATACAAAAACGATGTAACAAATCTTCCTCTTGTGCATGTGAGTCGTAAGTCAGTATTTGGCTGTATCCAATAGCGTCTGTTTATCTTCCAAATATACATTTTGTATACAAGAAAAGCAAAAATTGCACGTTTTTTACGGACAACAACATCCATCTCTACGACAGAATACTACTACTAGCGTCATCTCGTCGTCTAGTGCGTATCTGATTTTGCGGCAGCCGACAAAAGAATGCGTGTGTGTACCGACTCTAAGATTGTCTAAAGGCAATTCTTCAAATAATGTTTTGCAGAAGCAATAAGTATGCTATGCCTATGCCCAAAAATTGATCGAAAATCGACATTATGCCTGAAGTGACCGGAAAACGTATGAATTTTCTGGGGGTTAACATGACTATCCTTAGTATTAAGAAAAGAATATTTCGTGTAAACTTCGGATCTAATAGGAGTAACTTCAACAGGCATTCGTAATCGATATATAAGGTCCGCCAAGTTCTACGGTGAAAGACTGTCTTCTGTTATAGAACTTCTTCGTTAGTTGGCAGCATGGCAATCTTTAGTTCACTGTCAACGTGTTGTTGTTTTTCACCATCTCAGATTTGATGTACATGAAAGGTAAATGCAATAAAATTATTATTATTCAACTAAGAGTACTGAAATATCCAATAATATAAACTTAATTGTGTGAGAAAAACATTCTCCTAATTTTGACAAAAAAAAAACAAATTCTGGCTTCCGAAGATGGCGAAAAACAACACCAAAACGTTGACAATGAATTAAAATTTGTTTTTTTTTATGTTGCTGATCTTTGTTCCATTAAAACTATTATGTTAACAAATAAAAATGTTTGTTTCTCCTGCTGTCTAAAAAAAATGTGTTGCTAGCTAGAATTATGTTGATTGTACAACATCCCAAGCAAGTCAACGCGAAACAAGTGCCTCTTACGTTCATTCTTTAATGTCGAAAAAAATGGGATTGCTATTTAAAAAAAAATGATATCAACAATTTAAACTCCAATAAACTGAAGATATAAATAAATCGATGCGCAATTATAATTAAAAATCGTTGTTTCAATATTTTCATAAAAATTTTTATATTTCTAGAAAATGGATTAATTGCCGCTCAATGTATGCTATATAGAAATAAAGGAATGTCAAAAAGGGTACTTAAACTTAACATTACAATTTTTCCAGGTTCCAAAACCCAACGCTGCCTTCACCGAGCCGTACAACTGCTCGCTGACGCCGCCCTTCTTAAACGTGACCTCGGACAACATGTACAAGTCCCAAAAGAAGCTGTTATACCCCGTCAACGTGGGCAGGAATGTCGCTCGCGAGACGGCCCAGACCCATTACATCCTGCCATCCGATATTGAACTCTATCCTAGTCCAAATATAATCGAAAAGTTCCTAGCGATGATAGCGGAGAACAAGGGGCCGCTGCTCAGCAAGAACCCCAAGGTGTTTCCGCTTCACATATTCGAAGTGAGTGCCAATCAGCCGGTTCCGGAGAACAAGACCATGCTGAAGGAGATGCTGGTGAACGGCACCGCGTTGCCGTTCCACAAGAAGCTCTGTCCCGGGTGCCACAGCGTGCCCAAAGCCAAGGAGTGGCAGATGGCCAACGAGTCCAAGGGGTTCCACGTTTTCCATGTGGGGAAAAGGAACGGGAGGTTCATCCACTGGGAGCCCATCTTCATCGGAACGCATGCGGATCCCTTGTATGATGAGAGGCTGAGTTGGGAAGGAAAGAGTGATAAAATGACTCAGGTAATAAAAAAACTGTACATTTTTCTAATTTAATTTTTTCCTTAGTCTCGTATAAGAATTTTCCATTATATAGGCTGTCCCAATATTCTGAATATATGGAACTACTATTGTCAACGTCGAAATAAGGCGATTTATTAGCAGCGCACACGACAAATAGTCGGCAAAAATGCTATTCCTTATCTCAAAAATCAATCAGCATTTACTATATTAAATACAGAGTATCTGGAAATGAATGGGCTATACTTGAATTAAAATAAACCGATTTAAATCAAGTTACCTTTCTACAAACTTGCTCCCTTAAAAAGTTATGTTAGTATTACTTAAAATGATATGAAAAAAAATCAAACTTAATAACATTTTAAAGAAGCAGGATTGTATTAAAGTAATTACAATTTCCATTCAAGGAAGCTAAGCTTGAAATATGTCCTATTTATTTTCGGACACCCTGCATATTAAGGAATCGAAGTTGATCCAAAGCTTTCATAAACTGTGCGTTTTCATCGACCAAAAAATATATGTTTATTATAAAGTTACATTTTACTTTTATACTTCGTAAAAATCTAACCTCAAGTCTCATGTAATAAAATGCCATTGAACCTTTGAAAATTTTCATGTACTAAATTTTAACGTATTGTTTTCTGAGAAAGATATGGCTAAAATTTGATTTAAAAAAATATATCTCAAAAACAAAATCGGATAGGAACAAATAACTTATTTTTTATGTTAACGGTTCCCAAATTCGTGTAATCTTATTCCAAAACACCCTTTATATGTTTTTTATTGAATTGTGCGTCAGTAAAAAATGATAATTTCAATTTCCAATAACTGATGATGGTATTTGATTACAAGTTTTTGAACTCCACAAGACATTATTAAAAAATTAAGACATTTAAAAAACTTGATTTGTATTGAAAATATGCTGGTGATGGTTAATAAAATATTTAATTGTGGAAAAAAGAATGGATATATTTTCTTAGAGGAGGAGGCATTTTTGTATTCCTGTAAATGCAATTACTCTGCTTACACTGACATTTACAGTGGTGATGTACCATTGTTTTATTATTATTTGATACAAAAAAAAATTGTTATAAAAATATATGCGGTGTTGCAATTGAAAAATCGGAGAAGACAAGTGTTGTTTCAAATTCGTAAAGTTGACATATTTACAAAAAATACCTTGTATAAAAAAATTAATGTCTCGCGGATCTAAAGCGGTTTTTCACACTGTCAAATATTTTGATTCTATTTGAAAATTGTTACAAATTTTAGCAGACCATGCTTTCAGCAAAATTTAAGTAATTTTTAAATAAATTGACATTACTTTAAAATTATTTACACCACAGTATTTTCTAATGAATTCAAATATGTAAGAATATATACACAGGGTGTTCTGAAAGACACTAGTCCAGGGCCTGATAGAATTTCAAAAAATATTACAATTTGTTCCTATGAACCATGGGCGTATCTTTTTCCGTTTTCAAGGTACAGGGCGTTGAAAATAATTTTTTAGAATCTAGTTTTGGTCCTGTCTTCCACAAAATTTGACCAAATTAACTGAAATTTTGTTCTGTGGGGTTTCTGGGTATGTTAAATGTTCTGGACTTATTAATTTTCGGCTATATCATACAGGGCGTTCAGTGCAGTACTCTGCCGGAACATTTTAGGTCCTAACTTTTTTGAGGTTAATCTTTTTGCCCTTTTTGTCACTTGCTGTTATTCTCATGGTTCATAGGAACAAATTGTAATATTTTTTGAAATTATATCAGGTCCTGAGTTTATGCTAGTGTTTTTTAGAACACAAGTAGTACTTATTTCACCAAATTTTATTTTAAACTGGTGAAATCATAGTTATTTGGAAAAATAAATAAATGTTATTGCCAACTCTGATGCTCTTTAGCATCTAAGATGACTTTGGACATAGGTAACTAGTTTTAGTCGTCTTATTTGACCCTCAAGAATTTGTGAAAGTTACAAGTGTACGGAATATTGGGACACCCCTCTATTTCTAATCCGTTTTTATCTGGATTTTATTTTTGGCTAAAACGTTCTAGCGCTACTCCTCAAATCAACATTCTACCTCTGTTCTAGGGATATGCTCTGTGTGTGATGGACTACGACTTTCTCATATTAGACAACGCATTCCTAGTCCACAAACCAGGTATAAAGGTGTACAAAAAGGATGCCAGGCGAGCGATGCTAGCGGCGAAGACCAACCAGCTGATAAAGAAGATAATCTTCCCAGAACTTAAGGTCTTATATGGCGTTAAAAAAGGCTGTGCTGTGTAAAAAGTTAGTGGTGTAAAATTTCCGTAGCCATATTCTAATGTGTAACGATGAACTGTTTGTGAAGATATTCCCCTGAAGGACTTTTATATTTTATATGAAAATGTGATCATCATATTTATTAAGCACTGTTAGATTAAACTAAGTGATCAGAATTACCTTATGCTTATATATCCGTTAAGACATTTTGACTTTATCTATTTCCTTTTATCATTGTGACTGATGCCCAAGTCTGAGGTTTGGACGTAACCACATTTTCTTGTAGCATTTTAAGCACTAATTTTTGACGGGTTGTTTTTAAAACGCCTAAAATAAATCGTTTTATGTGATTAGTTGTGTTGGCGAAATTAATTTGATGTTTATTTTTTTATATACTTAAAAAAAAATAAAGTGAACCATGAAATGCGTTATAGTTATGCTAGTCATAAAAATTTACTGGACATAATGTTTATGCTTTTTATTGCAGTATTAATGTCTGTATTATGCTATAATCCTTGTCTTGTATAAGATTTTTTTTTTCAGTTATTGACCTTGTTTCGCTTATTTTAACTAATTGTTAATAAAAATAACCTGTCGAATACTTATCAGGCCTTTATTTATTTATTTATTTTTACTGTTTCATAGCCTCTCGCTGATTTATCATCGAACGTAAATCCGTTTTTTCTTATATACTATACAGTTTAGTAATATTATAGTTACTAGAATAAAATACAAATGGCTGACTTAAACTCAAGCCTGTTTGTGTATCGTTTGCTCATTATCTTATGATTTTATGTATTATTTTTTAGTATAAATTTTGTACTTAGTACCGTTAGTTGATTATTTATTGTAATTTTTTTTTTCGTTTTTATTTCGCTGTATTACCATTGATTGTGCCTTACCAATCCAAAGTGGTGATTAAAGTAATATAAAATAATACTTTTGTACTATTATGAAAGTGTATTCTGCAAATATATAAATAAAAATAAACTCGTATTTTATTATTTTGTAAAATTAAATTCCAGCATAATTTTAAAACGGAAACCTGCAGGAAGCTTTACAGCTAGTTCAACTGAGTAAAAGAGGGTTTTACCAGGGGCGTAGCTAGGGAGGGCATGGCCCACCCCAGAGACTTAATATTACCATCTTTGTCATATCGGTAAGTAGACCGATCAAAATAACTCATTTAGAGGAAAAAAAAAGAAAATTGTTACCTGGACTTTTATAAGTGGAAATGGTAAAGGGGATTATAATAAACGAAAAAAAAATAATGCATGGGCAGGGGCGGCGGAGGGTTGATTTGGGGGGTTGAAAATTATGAAAAATTGTATCATTGGGATTTCTGGCGAAAGTTGACGTCAGACAAAAAATCTAATAGAAAATTTGTAGATCATGCAAAAATCTACAACTTTTGTAGAGGTAATTTTTTAACATAACCTCAAAATTTCCGAGAAAAATGCGAAAAACCGGTTTTTTCTGGTTTTTCGTTTTTTATTTCTCACTTCCGCAAAAATAATTTACCTAATTTTGACGAAACTTGGTGAAAGTATACCTTTCTCTGTCTTAAATAATCTCAAATTTTTTTTAGATAAAAAAATCAAGAAGTTTGAGAGATTCATTTTTTTGGCCTGAATCACTTTTCTTTCAATGAAAAATTCTACTTAAAAAAATCATCATACAGAGTTCTGCCGGTAATCATTTTTTTCGTTTTGACAAACTTTTTGGTGAAATAAAAAAATTTATAATCACAGTTCAATAACATGCTCAAAAATGCAAAAAAGTAAAAAATGACTTGCAGCAATGAATTGTTGATAATTTGTTTAAATTTTAAAAAAATCAAAAACTGATTACACAATTCAATTGTTTGGAAAAAATACAAAAAAACTGTCATTGTTTGACCCAAAACTATTTTTGTACAGTATTGCTATAAACAAGTCGAATAGTGAACAAATAAAATAAATAATATTTTTTTTCCGTAGGATCGATTAGTGTACTCAAATTTTTTAAAATTTGATGAATTCATAGATATACAGTGTGTCCAAGATAAGGATAGAATACCATTAGGATCTGGGAAAGGGTAAGAGATACGGGGTAGCTCAGATTAGAAAAGAGTTGTGGTTTTTTTTATACCTAACAATATGCCGTTTAAAGTTTTAAAATTCCGGGTAGTTCCGGAGGTATCCGGACGAAAACTGGAAAATTTACAAAATTGTTTAATTTTTTCTGGCTTTATTTGAAAACGAATTTTAAAATAAATTATATATTTACAATGCCACTTTTTTCGCTCTATACAATGGCGCAACATTTCTGCAATCCGACGTTTCGTCTTCGAGGGGCCATGATCGGGTTAATTTTTTTAAATACGTCGCTGTTATTTTTTTGACAAAATCTAAAGTCATTTTTAATTCTGAATTAGAGGATATTACTATTGTAATCGCTTAAAAAGTTTTTAGCTTGTTTTAGCTATAATTAAAAATTTTTCCCGAGTACGGTTATTATCGCTTTCAAAATATCTATTAGATGAAGTCATAACAGTATAAAAGTCAATACCGCACAAAATATCCAACGATTTTTTACTATTATTAGCAATACTAATTGGAAATAATAAAATATTTAATAAATTCGTATTATTTTTTTATTTGGTACAACTTTTTAAATTATGGATTAAAAAAAATTGTTGAATATTTTGTGCTGGATTGACCTTTATTCCTCTCCCACTAAACACGAAACGTAAATGAAACGTTGCAAATGAGATGTTTTACTAAACATTTGAAACATTAACTAGAAACGTTTCTGTTTCATTACAGAAATGTAGCACTTGAAAACTTATTTAGTGAAACATAGCCGAAACGTTACAATTGAAGAGAGTTTGAAACATTACTCGAAACATTCCCTTTCGATCTCGGAAACATAACAGACGAACAACCCTTTGCTATTTTTGCTTATCTTATGGAACATTCGGCATTAGTTAAATTTTGCTCTCAATCCCCAATCCTTCTCAAGCGTTAGTTCATTTGCCTTTGTTATATAAAGACATAATTAGAAAAAAAAATGTGGTAGCATATTTATAACACAAGTCTAGAAAAAATGTATGTTCGTGACTTGCGTAGACTGCGCGTAACAGCCCGAGTTTATTTGTTTCCCGTGTGTCGTTTCAATTCGTATTATGTTAGGTTAGGTTTGCGGTTTGTCAGTTTGCTTGGTTTCGTTGTTATTCATCTTTACTTTGACGCTATTTTATGTGATAATTTGTAGTGTGTGCAGTTGTGGTTATTGTAAGGTGCATATAAAATAATGAATATTGATGCAAAATGTTTAAAACGATATGTGTAGAGATTTCCAATTTTGCGTCACATCTACCTAAATATAGTTATACCCACTACCTATTACAGACAAGAGGACAAGGGACAAGAACTAAGAAAATGGAACAACAACTATACGTTTCGATATAATTTGAAGAGCAACTACTTAGTCAGTGAGAACTATTTGAAATATGGATGAATCAAGTGAAATAGACGTCATTTATTTTATATTTTGTACAAATGTTTATATTTGTTTATGTGTATAGGCATGCTTAAATAAAAGAGTTTAGGTATACCTACAGATATTTACTTTGTCAAGATATCATTTTGTATCCTTATTTCTGCTGTATAATTTATTATTATTAAAATGATATATGTAATATTGACCATGCGTAGAAGAAATTATAACTTTATATTATTTTTCAGTAATGTTATTTGTTTTTCATGTACCTACCATTTTGAGATTCATAATCATAACTAACTTTTTCTAATTATAAGTTCGTCATTGTTACCATATTCATGATGGTCTCAACATTAGAAAATTTCCATTTCAGAAGCGTATTTGAACTATATAAAATGTGTAGTTTTTTTTAATGCTTCTGATATTGTTTTGTGATATTTTTATTTGTACGATGAATGGCAAAATTCGTAATCCATATTAGAAACTTTTTTCAGTGGCTTCTCAAAAAGAAAGAAATTCTTAATAAAAGTTGCCGCATCCCCCAACTAGAAGAGCATATTTATTTTTTTTAATATACAATGAAACTTTTTTTTGTTCGAATTAAGTCATTCACAATACAAATAAAAATATCACAAAGGAGCATTAGAGATTTAAAAAAATACTCACACTATTTATACTATTTCAAAAACGCTTTTGAAATGAAAATGATCTAAAGTTGAGAGCATTATGAAAACAATATGGTGATAAAATTATTATGTTACTCAAACATTTCTGAAAATATACTGAAACGTAAAACAAAAATATCGAGGGCATAAATGGAACATAAAAAGAATGTTACTGAAACCAATTTTTTGAAACGTTTCATTGGAAACGTATTTTGGGGAGGACATCTTGGGCTTCTAGAACGTTATCAGAACGTTGCATGGATTTTTTATGAAACGTTTCAAGAAAAATGTAAACGTTTCTGAAACATGTCAGTAACTGAAAAATGTTTAGTGGGCTCTCTTCCAGAGTATTCCAGGTATTTTGAAAGCGTTCAGAGCTGCTCAGGAAAAATTTTTAATGATAGCTAGAAACCTTTTTATTACAATAAGTAATATCATCTAATACAGAATTAAAAATTAATTTGATGATAGCCCCTCGAAGACGAAACGTCGGATTGCAAAAATGTTGACGCCATTGGATAGAGCGAAAAAAGTGGCAATGTAAATATGCAATTTATTTAAAATTCGTTTTCAAATAAAGCCAAAAAAAAATAAAACGATTTTGCAAAATTTCTAGTTTTCGGATTTCGCGTCAACAGTAGACTTTGTAGTTAATACTTTGTATTGCTAAAATCTCAAATCATTCGGAGATAACTTATCATTTATGTATTTGTAATTTGACTTCGCTGTTTATAGCAATACTGTACAAAAATAAAGTTTTGGGTCAAACAATGAATCAGTTTTTTTTTTAATTTTTTTCCGTAGAATTGAATGGTGTAATCAGTTTTTGAATGTTTTTTAATTTAAACAAAAAACATCAACAATAACTGAAAAATTCATTGTTGCGTCACTTTTTATTTTTTTTTTACATTTTTATAACTGTGATTACAAATTTTTTTATTTCACCAAAAGGTATACGTCAAAACGAAAAAAAATGATTACCAATAGAACTCTGTATGATGATTTATTTAAGTAGAATATTTCTTTGAAAAAAAGTGTTTCAGGCCGAAAAAAATGGATATCTCAGAAACTTCTTGATTTTTTTATCTAAAAAATTAAGATTATTTAAGACAGAGAAAGATATACTTTCACCAAGTTTCGTCAAAATTAAATTATTTTTGCGGAATTGAGAAATAAAAAAAAACATGTTATTCGCATTTTTTACAATAGTTGTAGATTTTTGCATGATTTACAACTTTAGTATTGGATACTTTTTTGTTTGACGTCAACTTTCGCCAGAAATCCCAATGATACAATTTTTCATAACTATTCAACCCCCCAAAAAAACCCTCCACCGCCCCTGCTCACGCATTTATTTTTTTTAGGTTTATTATAAGCCCTTTTACCATTTCCACTTATAAAAGTCTGGGTAACAATTTTTTTTTTCTCCAAGTGTAATTTGGTTGGGCAAAAGTTGGTGACTGCGTGGATTGGGCTTTTTTTTTGTTTATTAAAGGCATCCATAGAGCTGACAGTCCTGACTCCACCCCAAGCAATTGTAGCTACGCTCATGGGTTTTACAAAAGAATTTAAAAAATATCAACATCTTATAAAAATCTGAAAACAATTTAATTTCAATACTGTACAGGGTGGCCCAAATTTTAATAGACAAACTTCAGGAAAGTACTAAACAACAAAAATTAACATCACTTTGCTCTATAAACATAGGTGCAGAAAGCCACAGTTTATGAGATACAGGGCGTTGAAATTATCAAAAATAAAACAATTTTTTTAAATATCTGAAAAACCACTTCATCAAATTTATCCAAATTTGATACACATTTTTCTTCAAATATTTCTCCA